TCTATCTATCTATCTATCTATCTATCTATCTATCTATCTATCTATCTCTGTTTTTATCTATCTATCTATCTACCTTCCTACCTACCTACCTACCAATTTATCAGATCTATCTATCTATCTATCTATCTATCTATCTATCTATCTATCTATCTATCTATCTATCTATCTATCATCTATCTATCTATCTATCTTGTGCTATTAATCAATCAATCTTTCTATCTACCTACCTACCTATCTACCTACCTACCAATTTATCAATTCTATCTATCTATCTATCTATCTATCTATCTATCTATCTATCTATCTATCTATCTATCTATCTATCTATCTATCTATCTCTACCTACACATCCATCCATCCATCTATCTCTATCTCAAATATATACACTGTCCATCTCTTAAAAAGTTATCTTAGGCAGTTTACAAGTTTTTTTTTTAACCATAAAAACAACAGAAAAACAAACAAAGTTAAAAAGTCAGAGAGAGAGAGCCCAGATGCCACCAAGTTTCAGAGACCTCCATGCTAGTTGACAGGTCTTAAGAGTTTTGTAGGCCTTACTTGAGGGACTCTGGGCCCTTTGGTTGTCTCAGGAGGCCCCTTTTCAGGACCCTGGAGAGCAGCCAAGAGAGTTTTGTTCTTTGGACTCCCCTTGGGGGAAACGGCTGCCCGGAAGATGTGCTGGTTGGTTGCTCCCTCGTTCCCGGAAATGATGAGTATACAAACACACATCTGGAAAGGCACCGAGGCAGCTTCTGCAATACCCTTTCTGGTTTAGGCCCCAAATGAACAGCTTCTGGAGGGAAACCTCCCAGGGCGTGACCTCCTTGACTTCAGGACTCAATCCCAGCTCCCACACGGAGCTGAGATGCCGTTCAAATCCAAACAGCAAAATCCTGGCATTGACCCGCAAACCGAAGCTCTTGGGATCGATCTCAATTAAGGTGACTGCAAAGGAAATCGTTGCTTTTCCTAACCTCCACCTTACAATTCCTCTCTCAGCTGGCCACATGTTTCCTTTCTCAGTTCTTTTTTTTTAATAAATAAAAACAAAACATTAAACTTCAACATTTCCCATAACATTGGCTGATAAAATCCAGAGGCACTTAGGGCTGTGTTCTCTTAGAAGGCCTGTCAAAATTGGAGAGACAGATGCTTCTTGTCCTGATAAACCAGTGGAAACTCCAGCACTGCAACTTGAGGGGGTCCAACACAAAATGAGACCTGAAAATTATCATTAGCCAAATGGTTCATCACCCCCCCAAAAAGAGGGTTTTTTGGTTCATCCGGGATGATTTGAATCTCAATTTGCAAGAGGGTGCAATTTTTTTTTTAAAAAAGAGAAGGCCCGTTAACTAGCTGACTTTGATGCAAAAAAAGGAAGCCATGTTGTGCACCCACAGCAAATAAACTTCATAAATAAGTAAATAAATCATAACAAAAGTGGTTTTTTTTTTTTAAAAAAAAAGACTCTGCAGCAGTCTCAGTTCAAGCTTTTGTACCATGAACTGCACTTGGGAGACAATAAAGCTCTTGTTTTAGTTAACTCTCACCCAGTTTTGAATCTGAAAGTCCTTGAAATGGACATGCTAATCTGGTCTAACGTCTACAGCTGCACAAATCTGTTTCTAAGCTCAGAACCTTGAACGCAGATCAGAAATAGACAATACAAAAATTAAAAATAACCTGACTTGTAGCCAACGGAGAGGAAAGGAAACAAATCCATACAGTTGAATGCCTAAATTCGTGACAATTATTTATTTTTACTGGAACAACAAGCAACAATTAAATGGGGTACTTGTATGTTTGGCTCCTTGGAAACACAAGCTGAAGCCAACCAGCCTCACTTCTTGTTCATTTTAGGCAAACATTATAATACCATTAGAGGCCAAAGGAAACATCTAAGGAAACTTCACAGAGGTGAAAATGACAGCA